CCCCCGCCGGGCCGCACGAGCGCCTGGGATATGAAGGAGGAGGCGATCCACGCCACTGCGGTGCCGGCGATGCAGGCGAGCCCCTCGGCGCGACGGCGGTCCATGCGGGGCCGGCGCAGACGCGGCTGCGCACGTGGGCGTTCGAACAAATGACGCTTCCCTTCCGTCTGTGGCTGGAGGTCAGCACCACGACCTCACAGCGATGTAGACCGTATCACCGCATTTTTGCTGATGTACCGCACTCCTGAGGATTCAGACCGTGGCGAAATCCTGGTTGAGTTGCCGACAGTGCTACACACCGAGATCTGGATCAATCCGCAGCCAAGAATGATATAGCTGAGTTAAAATGACAAGCAGTTTAATCATCGCGCATGCCCATGATTTGTCCCAGCTGGAGGTCACCGCAAGCGAGTCAACTAGTGCCTCCTTTTGATGAGGCCAGGCTGATTGGCGCCCTCAACTCGCCGACCGCCGCCTCGCTGGCCACATCAAACACATGCGGATCGCCATATCATTTACCAACTTACATATGCATCAGAACACGCAACAGCATCATACAGGTCCTCGAAGCAAACTGCATCAGGCCACAGGCCTGCTAGCTGGCAGGGGCATTGTTCAAGTCGCGCCGCTTGTCAACGGCGGCGGCCGGCAGAAGGCGGCAGCGCGTCGGGCGCCGCGGCGGGCTGAGCCGGTGGCACGCGAACAGGCTCCACCGGCGGCGCCGCAGGGGCGGCAAGAGCGGGTGTCGGCACGGCTGGGGCAGCGGCTGCCGCTGGCTCCGCAGGAGGGGGGGCGGCCGGGGCCGCCGCCTCGGGCGCAGCAGGGGCGGCGGCCGCAGGCGCAGCAGGGGCGGCGGCGGCAGGCGCGGGGGGCGCCGCGGCGGAGGCAGCGGCCTCGTCGGAGGGTGGCTGGGTGCAGCCCTCTGTGAAGGCGGCCCCGGGGGCGCAGCAGACCTCGGCGCTCTGGAAGACACCCCAGCCTGGGCAGAGGGTGAGGAGGGCGCGTAGTGTGCCAGTGAGCGGATCCAGGCCAAAGCTCTTCGCATGCAACGCCGAGGTGGTGCGCGTTTCAAATGGCACGTGTTGTTGGTGCGGCGTGGCCCCGAGCGAGGCATGCGTTTGCCAGACTGTGACAGCCGGCCAGCACTGGCGCAGCAGTGTGCGACACCAAGTGGCCCAAGGCGAAGGAAGGACTGCGGAGTCCCGCGCACCCCACAAGGCGCAATTCACATCAAAAACGGCGTGGTCGCGCCTCACCCCTGCTGCATCGCGCGATGTCGTTCTCCAGGCGGCACTTGCGCACCGGGTTGTAGCTGTCAATCACGTAGCAGGGGGCCTTGGGGACGTACGTGGAGCAGCCCTCGCCAAACGCGCCCGACTGGGGAGCGCAGCACGCCTCGCTTGTCGGCCACTGTGTTTGTGGAGTGTGTTTGGCGGGGGGAGCTGGGGAGGGGGGCTGCTCTAAGACAATGGACGGAGGTGCGGGGTTGCGTCAGCTTGGGGCAGTACTTCTTGGGTCCCCCTAGAGTGACGAACAGGCCGTCTGTTGCATCAATAGACGCGGCAGACCCTGGCTGACACAGGGTCTTCAAAAGCAGTGTGGCTCCCAGCCGGCGCACCGTCTGGCCGCGCGTGTCGCAGGCGGTGCGGGTGGCTCGGCAGGTGCGGGCCGGGTAGTATGCGTCCACCTGTCGCAAATTTGAAACGGGCGGGGCGTTAGCGCAGTTATGTACGTATATACAAGGGAACTCAGTGGCATATATGTAGTAGAGTGGGATGGACGGGAGGACGAGCCGGCAAGAATGTCGGCGTGGACCCGCCGGAGCACTCCTCGATGCAAGGCAGTGGTTCGGTCGCGCAGGCGGGTGAGCGCCCCGCGGGCCGCGATCTGGTCCTGCATGCAGTCTGGTCAGCAGCACAGCGCTGGGGGCGCCTCACCACCCAGCAGGGCTCGGGGCTCTGGGTCAGGTTGGTCGCGCAGCCCTCGGGGAACGCGGCGCCTGGGACGGAGAGAGGGCACGTGAGAAGCTGTGAGTTGGCAGGTACGCAAAAGTAGAGCAGATCTTGAAGAGGTGCAGCTGGACACACGAGGCCCCTGGCGTTCGCCCAACCCGCCGTTGCAAACGGCGTCGCCCAGCACGCACGCGTGTGGCAAGTTGGCGCGCATCATCGCGTACGCGGCACGGCGCCGCGCGCTTCGCCCGCAGTGGGCCCCACCTGGGGCGCAGCACGTCTGCTCATTCGGGTATACGCCATAGCCTGTGGGTCGGTGAGTCATCGGGGCCGGAAGGGGGGGGGTGAGATGCAGTAACGTGACACACACAGCGGCTGGTCTGCTTGTGTGATGATGTTGGAGGGGTGACAGCAGCACCTCGGCTGCCCGTTGGTCAAACCTTGACGCCCCTGTGTACTGGGATCCCATGGATCTCCTTTCTCTCATCCGCCCCAGCGTACCTGCGCTGCAGGGATGACTGGCAGTCAGTCGCCCACCATCCCACCGCTCTCATCCATCCAAAACGACAATCCACCTCGCCACGCGCGTGCACTCAAACCATCGGGGCGACAGCAACCCCCACATTTCCAGCTCAGGCAGATGCAGATGCAGATGCAGGTTCGGCGCCCCGCCCACCCTGCAGGCACTTGCGGTCGTCCCTGATGCAGGTCCTCAGGTTGAAGGACTCCACCACCCAGCACTCTGACGGCCGCTGGCTGCACCCCTCAGGGAACGCCACGCCTGCGGGACGCGTGCGTGCGGATTGGGGAAATGTGATGTGAGCACGGTCCTCATCATTTAGAGGGCCCCCCGCCCTCCAAATGAGGAGGGGCAAAGCAAGCTGAGTACACTCTGAAGCTGCGGGCGGCCCTATCTCTGCAGTTGTGAATCTTTTGGGCAGGGGGGGCTGCGTATGCAAGGCGCGCAACGGAGTCAAGGGGTGCTGATGGGGGGAGCTCGCGCAACCTCGAGGTTGCGCGAGCTCAAAACCCCGCGTGCCTGGCGAGCAGCACAGGTCCTTGGATTGCCAGACGCCATAGTCTGCGGCGAGAGGGGAAAGATGGCAATGACAAACCAACGCTATCTTGAGGGGGCGAGCTGCGCCGGCAGCTGGCCAACTGACGGGCCACCTGCCGGCACCTGCGCGCCACAGCAGATGCTCGCAGCAGCATCTGTCGCGCGCGCCGATTCACGAGCGCGCGCAGGTCGCCCATTTGCCTAGCGACCGGAGGCGAGTGCACAACGCGACCCACTTCTGGAGCAGATCTGCTGGTTGCACTCTGCCTTGCAGGTCCTGTAGGGGTAGTAATCCTCGACAACAAAGCAGGGTGTCGCGCAGCCCGCATCGCTGGCCGCGTCCGGCGACGGCGACGGGGAGGCGGGGGCGGCAAAGGCCTGCAGGCGCGGGCACGGGAGGGAGAGTTGTGGGTTTGCTGCTTCTTCTTGATCTGGTTGCTGGAGAGGCGGCCGCGGCGTCAGGACAACCTGCACGCCCCACAGTCTGTGAGCTGTGAACATGGCCAGGCGCAGCGCCCGGCACCGCCCCCACCTACCACTTCGCCACGAAGGGGCCCTTGAGCTGACACTGTGCTTAATGCTGCGACCAGCAGGCCAGCGCAGAGCAGTAGGGCTGCCCTCATCGTTCGAATTTGGTCAGCGAGGCGGACTTAGGGTGAGCGTTCAAATCGGCGATGCAGCTGTGGATGCGAAAAATGTTTACGTTGCTGATGTGTAGACGTTGATGAGCAATTATTAGCTGCTGTCAGCCCCGCCTGTGGAAGGCAGACATTGCGCCTCGGCCAACTGCTGCATGGCAACCTGCAATCCGAGGATGAAGGTGGGCGGGCGCCGCCCAAACACGCGCCACCTTGTTGGTGCGGCAGACGGCCTTTGAATCATAAAGAGCTTTGGAACACCATGCTGGCTGGGCTGATGCTGAAGCCCATGCAACCTCCTGCAAGTCTGCTGTGCCATGCAGCGCCCATGCGTGCCGATCTGCACCCTTGCCGCTATGCAATGCCAAGTCTGGCACAAGATCCAGCAGTACCTCGGCTACCCCACCGCCCCTGCAAATGCAGATCCCGGTAGCCCCTGTGCCTCCTGATCTTTGCTGAAAGCGATGCAGAATCCAGGCCGCGCAAAAGCGCCTGCACCTGCGAGGCCCAGCCGCACGCAGCATCATCGCGCAGCCGCAAATCGCAGCGTCATTGCGCAGCCGCCCTTACACTATGCGAAATGCTCGCAACCGCCCTGCAACCCTTGAAGTTGGGTCCATCATCTGCAACCATCAAGCTCGCTGCTGGGGCCGCCTCATCGAGTACGCCACCTTGGCGGCCGCCCCCTGGAACAGAATGTCGACGCCCACATCCAGGCTGCGCCCCGGCGGCCGCCCCACAGGCCGGCATGAGAAGCTTCCCGACAGCTCCGCACCCTTTTCCATCTGAGCGTCATAGGGTGGGGGGT